ATAAGGTTAGAAACAATTAAAAACAAAGAGCATGATATCTTTTTCGTATCCTAATGCAACAATATATCTTTTTCTTTCCCCCAGAAAGTTATCTTTTCAATTCAAAGGCAGTGAGATTTAAAAATAAAATTATTTAGATATATAACCTGCATCATTTATATGCCATATCATCATTCATCACCACGACGGAGTTTTTTAAAATTAATTAAATTTTGAACGGAAATTGGACCGCCGATTGCTAAAATTACGTAGCGGGACTACACACATGAGGCGTGATTTTTTAGAATATAAAAGTATATGTATGAGAATGCCCTTAGGCTGTGTTTCCGCCAGTATCATTTGCAAATCCGGCGAAAACTCAATTGTAATCTGTAAATATTTTTAAAAAGTTTGTTAAAACCAGTTAAATACATTAAACATGCTTTATCTTCTAAAATATTCTCATTTACGGTAGGAGAGAGAGTGAATAAGAGATAGAAAATAAGTAGCCAGGGATGCTTGAAAGATAATTAATAGGGTGATATGACATATAATTAATGGGGCAAAAATACAAAAAAAATAGCTTAAAATTTCTCATGTCATTTAATTGTATCTGATATACAGGAACATGTTTACCAAAAAACTGTACTAGGACCAAAGTAAATTATGAAAGCTTTATATAATTTCTGAAAAATTACAGTTTATAATTAAACTTGTATACTATAATTATCTAATAACTATTCTAAATAAATAATACTCCCTCCGTTCCTTATTATAAGAGACAAATAACCGAATTACGTACGTTGATCAAAAAAGTAGTTAAAATTAGTTAAGAACAATCAATGTGTAAAAAATATAATTTTTTTCCCAAAAATACCCTCATTAATAAGGAGAGAGAACAATTAAATTATTAAAAGAAAAAGAAGTGGAAAGAAGAGAGAGTGTGAGTTGGAGACAATAAATATGGGTAAAATAGGAAATCAACACAAAAAAGTAGAGACCACTTTTAAGTGTCTCTTATATATAGGAACATGCCATAAACATCAAATGTCTCTTATAATAAGGAACGGAGGGAGTAATATATTAGAATCGATTTCAAATTAAAAAAACTACAAGGTTGGTGTAAAAAAAAAACCAAACGAACATAGGAAATGAAATTTTACACTACAAGTTGTAGTATATATTTAGGAATCATAGAATATGGGTTATTGGAAAAAAAAACACACACACACACACATCTACTTTAGTCACTTTATGCAAAACGTTAGAAAATAAAAAGGAAGGGGGGGGGGAGCATACCGGCCGGGCCGAATAGAGAGCGAGAGACAGTTGGAAAAGTTGATGATTGGAGCGAGCAACAGGGAAAGGAGACCTTCAATTTATAGGGTCAGGATGACTGTTATTAAGGAAGGTGTTCTCTCTCTTATTTATTGTAAAATGATTCTCTGCTTACTATTCAATCAGTAACAATCAAAAAATTAGCACTGATTAATTTTTTATTTGCTTTTCTTTTGGAGGGGGGATTAATGCTGATTTATTCTCTGATTTGATTTTATTACATTTTTACATTTTTCTAATCAAATGGTTCAGCAATGGACTTGAACCCTAAATCCAACACAAAGGGTGCGCTTAAAATCTTAATAGATGAAGCTAGCCTTCAACCTCTAAACCTAAGAATCAACTGGTGTCTTGCTATGAGAAAAAAAAGACTTTAGATAAAATCTCTAAATAATTTAGGCATGAATCCTGCAAGAAAAGGGCACGCTTTGGCCGAACTCAATCCAGGTTCATTTATAAGTTTTAAATTTGGAAGTGAGTCTGATTTATTTTATAAGTTTTAATTTGAATTAGTCTGAATATTTAATGGGTTTCTTATTTGGTTTTTCTTTTTCTACATTTTCTCTAATTACATGTCCTTTTATATTCTTTTCATCTTTTTTTCTCATTTATTATAGGGATATATTTAAAAATAAAAGTATATTTCTTACTCATTTATTGCTTTCAATTGATTTTAAATTAGGAACAAATTTGGAAAAATCACCTAAACTTTCCAAAATATGTCATTAAATCGTAATATCATATTAATAATGATACATCTTTTAATGCCTTCCATAAATTAGGATAAATTTGGAAAAAACATTAATACTCATTAAATTTTATAAACTAACTTCCATTTTAGGCAAGCCAAATTTTTGATAAAGTGGGTTACTTTTGGCCATCACGCCATTTCATGACAGTTTTATCGCAAGGTTGACGGATTAATTTTTTTTGCCCACGGATTAACTGTTTTTAAATCCATAATTTTAATATAGTTTATTAGGTTTTACTAGATATTAAGATAGAATTCATTCAATTATTTGAAGATTAAAAGAATAAGTTATTTTTAATATTTAGCTGCTTAAATCAGTATGAGATTGTGTTATCCTAATCTTTTTGTTTCATTTATCTAATTAAGAACGCTATCAGATATTCAGGTATGTGTATATAAATACAATTTTATAAATTGTTCCATTAAGAATTTTAGATGAGTTTAAATGTAGAATATAAATAAAAAAAATCTAAAAACCGATGTCGTTCATCAAATCAACATTATATTAGAAGATAAACTAATCTAATAGTACTATGTATTAATATTATCATAAATTAAGTCAGGAATTCAGTTGTAATGTGATTTCGTTTTAATCTATATAATTTTTTATAACTTGTAATTCTTTTAAGCATGGAGTAGATTTTACCGCAGCAATAATGCAAGATAAAAGCAAAATTATTTTAACACAAAATAAAAACTTTAAAAGGTTAGTAGGAATTGTATTTTTTTTTCCTATGCAGATTGTATATATAATGGTATTTTTTTTATTTTCACAAAATGATCGGGATAATTGCTATATATTAATCATTAATTAAGAATAACAAAATGCCAAAACGCATTTCGCAAGATATTGTAGTAAACTAGAATGAATTACAACCATTGGATCGAGTACGGTTGTGATCGGAGGGCGGAGAGCATATGTGGTTGAGGCTTCGCGCGAAGAAAGCCCGGGACTATGATTGAGGAGCCTAAAAGGGAAACGGACGTATATTTGGTGACATGCGAGAAGATGGAACCATCTTTTAAAAAGAAAAAAGAAAGAAGAAAGTTAAAAAAAGAGAGAAGGAAACGGAGGTATATTTGGTAATGTACGAGAAAATAAAGCCATCTTTCAAAAAAATTAAAATTACTAAATATCAAATTAGTTTTAGTTCTTACACTTTAATAGGTGTTGATAATATTGACTTGTAGATAAAAATACATTTTTTATAAGAATTTTTATTTGGGGTTTAACAATTTCAAAATTCTTTTTGTATGACTCTCATAAAAAGGAGTGAGAAGAAAAAATGCTTCTACATAAAAGTCATTTTCACAATGAAAAAAATGCGTGAAACATTTTTTTTCCCAATTTTTTCATAAAAAGTTTGGAATGACAGAAATACCCTTTATTTAAATGCTCAAATTGACTCTTCTTTTTTCTTTTTTTATAATAATAATTGCTTTTCAAAATTAAAAAGCTTAAATTATAGGCTTAAAATGACATTAAGATTATTTATAGGATTAAGTTGCGTCCAGTATCCCAAAGTATTTAGTCGGATGCCCCTCAAAATGCTAAAGTATTTTGTAATGCAGTTCAACACTTGATGTAATTTTACTTTTAAAATATTAATTTCTTCAAAAATAGTTGTGTTTTTAAAGTATTATTTCATGAGTAGTTTTAATTTCATTATTAATTCCTTAAAAGGTTTGCTAAATCAATATATATCAAGTACCATAAAGTATTTTTTTCAGTATTTTTTGTGGAGCTGGATACATCTGAAAAAATATTTTATGGTGTTTGATGCACAACAAAATACTTTAAATTATTAGACGTACCTGAAAAAATAAATCCTTAATGCACCACAAAATACTTTAGGGTATTTGACAAAATACTCGAGGCGTTGGATGCATCTTAGTTGATATTTATATTTTGTCAATCATCATTAGTATTTTTATGTTGTCATTCATATTTTTTTTTCATTTAGAGACTTAAAACGTTCGTTATTACATTTAAAAATCAAACCTACCGTTTTTTCCCCAAAAAAATAAAGAGTGATAAGTACATAAGAGGTTTTTCTTTTAAGATCAAGGGACAAGTTCTTTAAAATGTTTCACAATTCAGAACAAAACTAAAAGTTTCTCCATATGCAATGCACAGATTAATATATTTAATTAGATTTGAAATTGGATAATACTTGCGTTTTATTCAACATAATTAAATCCTAATTAAGATAGTATTTAAATTCAAAATTAATTATTAATTTTTTTATTTCAGCTTCTAATTGAAATCTCATTTAATTATAACACTCCTTATTTGATTCAATATATTTGAATACTAATTCAGATATTATTCAAGTCTCATTAATTGAATATATTCGGATATCATATTGCCATACCTAACTCATTTTTAAATGAATCGAGTATTATAAAATTTTAAGAATACAGTTAATTGATAACAAATTTTTTATTCATCAGCAGAAGGCTCCTTTTGTTGGCTAAATAAAGGCTATATATATATACATATATATATATATATGGTTTTTTTATAAAAAAAAAAATAGATGAGTTGGGTTCTGAAAGGGTTTACCAGATAACCCACCAAAGTTTTCATTTGTACCAAAATAACTGAGTTGAGCTAAAGGAAAGCTTGAAGGCCTTTTGATAACCAACAAGCCATATTATTTAAGAAAAATGGGCAAAATTTTCTTTTTAAAAATTTTTATTGGCGACATAGATCAATATTGATGCCCACCTATAAAATTTACAGTATTTTTTGTGTATAAAAATTATTTGTCAGGTCCCAATGCATTTTTAATGAGAGATTTTCCACTAACTTTTTCCTAGATAAGTGTATATATAGGATTCACGTCCAATTATATTAATAAAATTTAAAAGGCATGCGTTGGTTTGTTTGTGTTGGTGGCCATGGGAGATCAACAACATCCTAAAGGTGTTTTGGATTCACTCATAAATTATCATTCATATGTCAATTAACGATATTACATGTGAAGTGTAGAACTTCATCACAAGTCATGAGATGATGATCAGATTGTGTGTTGAAGTGGGAGAGAAGGAGGAGGAGGAGGCAGAGGGTCGTGAACATTATTCTTGCAATCATCAGATGGCGGAATAACAGAGGAGAAGGAGCTTTGGTCCTGAGATGTAATTTGGTGAATCAGGCGAAATAAAATGGTCTCAAGGTCTTGGCCATTGCTCCATCCGTGGACCTGAGCTTTGAGGAGAGATGGCTCTCTGCTTATTAAGTCCCACACTGGGAAGTCCCTCCTTGGCATCACAAAGTCTGACTCCCTCAGCTTCATGCTTGGGCAGTAATCCCCACTCCCATCTCCCACATATATCATCCTCTTCTTCTTTCCCTCTTCCCTTATCCTTTCTTGAATCTTCTCTATGATTTTGCCCTGTCATGCCAAAATCAAAATTGTAATTTACTTGTAAATGCCTCTTACTACTAAAAAAAATAAATTGATTTGATTTGATCATACAGCAAACCTTGCACATGTTGGGAGGGCAGAGAGGACAGCCGTGAGGAGATTTTGTGAAGTCGTGATAAGGCAAAACTCTCAACCTTCCTTCACCGTCAACGAAACCTGGGTTTGTGTTAATCTCTGTGAAACACTGCTTTATTCCCAGGTGCTCCAATATTGTCTCTATGAAGAACGCGTTTGCATCGCTCACAATCCTCAAATCGCACCTGCCAGGCCACAAACTCAAATTCAATATCGCATTCAACTCGAAATTCTACCAAGAAATCATAATTTTCTGAAGAAAATTCTCATTTACGTAACCCTAAAGCGTGCGCTGCCTTAATGGCGGGGACTATTCTCGGATGCATTGGAACCTTCTTCAGAACTTGAGCGACGTCTTCAATGGTTTTCCCTTGCGAATGAATCTCCATCATCATCCTATCCTGTAAAAAGCCAAATTCAGATGTTCAAATTAACGCAATGCAGATTACAGAGTGAACACAGAGAGAAACCGATCGAGAGAAAAATTTGGAAAACGTACCATGAGAGAGTTCCAAGGCATGGTGGGACGAAGATGATTGAACAAATCAGTTGCAGATAGCTCATCGATGACCCAGTTGTCGCTATCACAGTCGAGAATGGTCAAGTCGAAGTCGAAAACGACTACGATCCCAGCCATGACAGATTCGCTGTTCATCTCTTCAGAATCAAATCTCAAGTGCACATTTGGAGAGGGGGGAGAAGAAGGGTATTTATAGCGCCTAGTATGAACGCGATGATTTTATTTTTATTTTTAAGAAAGGGAACTTGAGGGATTTTTTAAAAAGAAAAAAGAGAGAAGAATCCAAAGGATACTCCCCGTGTGATGGAAGGAATAAAAAAGACTTGATTAGCATTCGAGATTTTTTGGCCAGAATACTTGAGATTGTTTTAAGGGTTTCAGATTTTAAATTTACAATTTTAATAGAATATAAATTATTTATTAAAAATAAATACATGAATAAAATTAAACAAAATACATTTATATTAAAAATTATCATATTGTATTCATATAAGAGGGAAAAAAATAGAAGAAGAAGAAAGTATCGCTCTTTATAAAAAAGCGCCATGCTGTTGGAGAAAGATACTTTCTTTTTTTTAAAAAAATAGAATATAGAATGATAATTTTTTTGATACAAATGCATTTTATTTAAATTTATTCATGTATTACTTTTAATAAATAAATAAGTCATTTTTTGCCAATAAAAACAAAACAATTAGCATATAAAATTATGAATTCAGATTCTCCCTTTTATCTTTCTGCTCTTTTTCTTCTCAAATCTGATCCGTATTTTTAGATAAAAAGATGGGTGATTAAGATTTAATATGTTATAAACTATTGATATAATATTTTAAAAAATATTTTTAAAATATTTTCTATAATGTAATTATGAAACATCCGCATCCAAATTTAACAGATTAAATTTATTTATTTATTTTCATAAAAAAGAAATTTCCAAATATTAAAGCACGTTTTTTGTGAAGACACAAAAAGTGCCAACTTTTGGCAACATAAGTTTAGAAATGGGATATCACCTCTTAAAAGACCCCCCACGGTCTTTGAAGGATTTCACCTGAAAACGCTATGGGCTTTGGAAACACAAAAGAGTGTGTTATTAATTACTCGTCCTTTTAAAACCAAAAAAAAAAGAAGATCTACATTCATAAAATTATTCAGTTTTTTTTAATTAATGATGATTTGAAGATAAAACTATTAGGTTATTTATTATATTTAGTAGTTTTTAAACAAAACTGAGATTGTGTCTATCATATCTTTATGTTTCACATCATCTGGAATCATCAATAATTCAACATGCAGTGTTGCGCTATTTTCACATAATCATCACCTGATGGCTGCTAATTATTAATCAATTAATAATGATGATAATTATAATACAAATTCGCCCTTCCCAGGATACGCTACGCTAGCCAATCAGGATGAATTATAGCCGGTGGATATGGAGGGTGGCCGTGATGCGACGGCGACGGGGAACTAAGAACCGAGTCTCTCTTTTTTTCTTTTTCTTTTTTTTTATTTAAAAAGAAAACTCCGTGGCCACAAACCTAAGAATTGAGTTGGAGCCACCTGGGAAACGTACTCCAATTCCTTCCGAGAGGGAGTTCGCGTTCAGTGCTCATCGGGTGCTCATCACCTGATGAGCAATCTGGGCCGTCCAAATCTAATTTAGACAGTCCAAATTTAATATTTTTAAATAATTATTTAAAAATAAAAAAATATACTTTTAGAAAATAATAGTTAAGATATTATCTTTATTTTTTATCATATACCTATTAAAATAATTATTTTAAAAAAATAAAATTAAAATTAAATCTGGACCGTCCATATCTGTCCAGATCAGATCTGGACGGTCCAGATTTGATGAGCATTGGGTGCTTATCAAAACTGAGGAGCACCCAATACAAATCCTCTGAGAGGACACTCTAGAATATTCTATAGGCATTAAGCTCAAGCTTATGGCCAAGTATTATCACCAGAACCTCCCGTATATGTAATTAGGGTTTTCTTTCTTTAATTAGTACATGACTAGGACTGACAAATGCATAAATGTGATGGAGTGAGCGTCCTTTTCCTTAATGAATTATTTAATATATTTATCGTCACACGAGTTCGATAAAAGTCCACTATTATATCTTTATTTTTGGTGGCCACCAGCAAAGACGTCATTTTTTTTTTTAACTGTCAGTGGTTTTGGATTTTGATTTGCCAGCCGATTTGATAGTGCTCTTTGTGTGTGGTTAGATCTTAATCGCAGCTGTACTCCAGTTAATATTTTCTTTTGATATTATAGTTTATTAATGGCAGAGACTAACGGAAGCCTCTACCACTTATATTTTTTATTTTAAAATTGAGATTAAAGGCCATGACAAAGATGGCAAAAAAAGAAACTTTTTGATTGTGCATTTCAGACTCGCCGAGGCATTATCAGTCTCCTAATGTTATTGGTTAAGGATGTGTTTGGATTAGCGGTGAAAAAGTAACTTTTTTTGCAATCTGACTTTTACAGAAGTTAAATTGGATAAAAGTCAGATAGTATAATGTGATTTATGTTTAGATTGACTTTTATAAATAAGTCAGTTTGAGCAGCTAAAACTTGTTTGGATGAGTAATAAAAATGTAAGTTTAGATATAAAATGATTGAAAATAACATAAATTTTATTAAATGACATATATATTATGTATATAATGTGAAAATTTTAAGAGAAATATTAAAATTAACAAATTATAAAAATAAAAATAGTTCTAGAGTACTTAATTAGATATGTTTAATGGATAAAAAATGTATATAAATTTTAAATAATAAAAATAAAAATAACAAAAAGATTCAAATATATTTGAATAGTCCCTTGAGATTAGAGATATTTGGGCTAACTTATCTGAATATAAGATTTTAGATAATAAAATAACAAATAAAAAGATATCTTAACATAAAATAAAAAAGGTTCCAGATTTTTTTTTTTAACTCCAAAATCTCTAATCTGTTTACTTCTCACTTCATCTTAGTGCCGCCACCTCAATTAGTCCCTGATGGCAGCAACAACAAAAATTTAAGGAGCTATAATACTGCCGCACTATGATGCATCAGAAAAGCCACTTTTAGGGTGTGTTTGGAATCACATCTGGAGCTTCAAACTGACTTCTCTACTGGTAAAAGGAGCTTTTTTTATTTGGGATGTGTTTGGAATCACATTTTTGCAATCTGACTTCTGTGACTGAAACGGACTTATACAATAAGCTCAAAGAAGCTGCTTTTATCCAATCTGACTTCTATAAAAGTCAGATTGAAAAAAAAGTTACTTCTCCACCGCTAATCCAAACACACCCTTAGTGGCTTCTGCTCCACCGCGCAATAGAGGGGAAAAGAGCTTATTAGATTGTCGCAGATCTAAACATGAAAAATGATTAGAAGCTATTTTTCACGGTGTAGAAGTTACTTTTGGGATCACTAACGTGATCCCAAACACACCCTAAGTTTTCAAGCAGAGGACCAGCAATGTGCAGTCTTTGACTTTTGGGCATAAAATTAAATTTTAAAAAAATTAATCTTTTTATCCTGTAACTTTGTTTCCCACATTATACTCGGTATAGCTTAATACTATTTTCGATCCTAATTATAAGAGCCATATGACTAATTTGAGGAGATTAAGGAAAGAAATTAATTTAATCATTTGTAACAAATAGGTGTTGTCTTTTCTAAAATATCATTACTAATCAACTGTATGGGTTAGAACTATCATTGTTAGAAAGATTACTTTGAGAAAAAATTACATAAATATGAGAGACCAAGTGGATTAGGATTTTATATTTAGAACCAAAATAAAAGTCAAACAAGGTTTTATATTAAGAACTGGAGGTAGTAATCAATAGTTTTAACCATTTAAAATATTAATCTCTATATGTCAAAAAATAAACTTGTACTATTTTAAACTTGTACTAATTATAAGACTTCGTTTGTAAACTATAAACAATATCTTATAATTAAAATCAGAGGCAGTATATTTTATGATTCAGGGAATGAGTTGCAATGAACCAGAACTTAAAGACTAAGTTATGATTAAGTTAAAAATTATAAAAAAAAATGAGTTGTTTTAAATTAAAGTATTAACACTAAGTTATAAATAATTCAAGACTATAACAACTTAAATTAATCAATGCCCAACGATTGTCTCTGCGCTTGCATCGCATCCGTAAAGAAGAGGCAGGGTAAACGCCGACTTAAAATTGCATTACCAATGCCCGAAAAGGCAAACTTGGGAGGCTTGCAGCCCAATGATTAATTAATACATTAAATTTCATCATCACCAGATGATTTTTAAAATTTTAAATATAATATCTCAATTCATTATTTCTACTATTTACTTATTTTTTCTAAATAATTCTGATAATAATTATATATATTAAAGAATTTTTATAATATACATAATTAGTAAGAATATTTTAATTCCAATAGTCGCAATAGAACAAGAGTACTTTGAAAAATGACACTTTTACAAATAATTGATTTAATTAATTTTTTAATTTTTATAAATAAGTTATTAAGCTCTTATATTAAGTATCAGAAATAATACATTGAGTCATCAAAACTTATTAAAGGCATAACATGCCACTAAACTCAGCATAACATACTACTAAACTTTACAGATATGTTTAGAGACTGCTGATCAGCAAAATTTTTAGATTGGCACAACAGAATTTAAACTCCTGTCCTTATTATATCTTGGATGCTCACCAACTAAAACAAACTTTCCATAAATGGGCTTCCTGTGCTTCCCATATTACGGATTGGGGCTCCTGATTTTAAGCCCAACAACATCATAATTTCCGGTTTATGATATTTGCGTGGCGTCTCAACCCGCACCGGTGCTAGCAATCCTATCCTATTCCTATGAATTACCTCTAATCCTAATTATAACATCTTATTATCTACAAATAAAGTATTATAATTAGAACCGAAAGTAGTATATTGCAACTTAACATTGCCTTTTTATATCACAACTTTTTCTAGTTAAATTAATTATTTATAAAAGAATAATATGCTGGTTTTTTCTAAAATATTCTTTTGAATAATGTGCGTTGAAGCTATCTCTTGATGCAAACTTTTTACATTTACAATCAATAGAGATATAATTTTAAAAAAAAAGATACGCAAATTAG